GCTCAGGACCTCAGACTGGGCCGAAGGTTCACCTTCTAACAAGACAATGACCCTAAGCACACAGCTAAAATAACGAAGGAGCGGCTTCACAATAACTCCGTGACTGTTCTTGAATGGTCCAGCCAGAGCCCTGACTTAAACCCAATTGAGCATCTCTGGAGAGACCTGAAAATGGCTGTCCACCAACGTTTACCATCCAACCTGACAGAACTGGAGAGGATCTGCAAGGAGGAATGGCAGAGGATCCCCAAATGCAGGTGTGAAAAACTTGTTGCATCATTCCCAAAAAGACTCATGGCTGTATTAGCTCCAAAGGTGCTTCTACTAAATACTGAGCAAAGGGGCTGAATACTTATGACCATGTGATATTTCAGTTTTTCTTTTTTAATAAATCTGCAAAAATGTCAAAAATTCTGTGTTTTTCTGTCAATATGGGGTGCTGTGTGTACATAATGAGGAAAAAAATGAACTTAAATGATTTTAGCATATGGCTGCAATATAACAAAGAGTGAAAAATTTAAGGGGATCTGAATACTTTCCGTACCCACTGTATATGTAAACATTTATTGATAACCAGCTCATGAAGGTGCTCTGATGTCAAATTGTCTATTTTTTCAGTGCATATATAATTTCTCATAACCTACTAGTTTTCCGCACTTCACTCTAAAGTACTGTTTATTTTTATATCTTAATTTTCATTTGTTTTTACCAAATTATTACCTAATTGTAAGACATATTTGCCCAGGTTGCTTTTGCTGACCCTACTATCTCCATATTTTAGCTTCTGGCCCTTTTAGCTGTCCTATAAAAGTTTATATGACAAAGATTTTTTTCTCAGTTTCTAGTATGCAAATCCTGGGTGAGGTGTCTCCTTTAATGATTGTTTGACCAAATGCTATTCAAGTCCCATTTCTGGAGAAATGACATAAATAAACAAGGTATTATAAGGTACATGTTTCTTGCTATTAAATGCTTGACCTTCAATGAGTTCTATAACTTATGCATACTTTTTTGTAAGTGCATTAGTAAGTGTGTTACTAAAGGACCAAATAAGGGCAGAGCCTATTTTTATGCAGATTTTAAAGTGTACAGTCAAAGCAGGGAACACCATAAAAATATATACCCAAACTAAGAAGATTAATTGTCCATGCTCAAAAATAAATTGGCTATAGGCAATGAATAAACTATATAATGAATTAAGCAGGACATTTAGCATACAAAAACACTTAATGTACATTTAAAGTTGCTATAATTAGTATTTGTATTTAAACACTGTATGTGACAACAGTCATGGTGAACCCACAGAGATTTTTTTCTTGATATCTGTTTTCAGCCATAATGCTAGGCTAACTATAAGCTACTTGGGGACTAGTGGAGCATTTACAGCTAACAGCCCCCTCAGGCCCAATACGAGAGCTAAAAGGAGACTATGTATTAATCTTATATTTATCGGACGGCCAGAATCATAACTCCAGATGACTAGTGCTCAGTTTGTTTCCTCTTCCTAGGGTTAAACATAGTTGTGTATGGCTTACAGGAGCACAAATGTGCCCCTTACTGTTAACCAATAGCCTAGTAGAAGTGATAGTTTAAATTGTGACTCATACCACCAGAAACCAACCAGTACTGTAGAAATGACATGATCAGTTAATCAATTTACTGACTCACAGAATTGTAATTCAGATAACTGACTAATTGTTTATGTCTTTTTAAAGCTAAAGTGTCAAAGATTTATTGGCACTAACTTCTCTATACAGGAATAATACATTCCCCTTGGTCTTAATTGCTAAACAAGTTGTAGTCTATCTAAAAAATGTACAGGCTACACTTGAGCACAGCACAAACTGAAACAATAATGGCCTTAAAACGATAAATAATAATAATAAAAAAAACAATAATACACTACCTCTGTACAAAACCAAGGCCACACGATTCAGTAATTAAAAGTCTGTCTTGTCTGATATTGTGGTTCGGATTCATAGACTGATTACACGCTGCCTGCTTTGCCCAGTTGGTTATTCAGCTATGTTTAGCGTTAAATAGTTACGTTTAGACACTGCAGAAAAGACAGGTATTAGGATAATTGTAAATGCAACCATGAATATTTTCTGATGTGTTTTGGCAGTCTATGTCGCCCTCTAGCATTCATACAACAAAATACAGGTTCTGGGGGAAATTGCGTCACGGAAGCGCAGTACATAGATAAATATATAATATAAACACTTGATTCCACATCAGGGCGTCTTAGATGCGTTTCACCCGCCGCCATATTGCCAGGGGCGGAGTGGCCTTTCCGGGCATATTTAATAGTGGAAAATGCCACACAGTTGTCGTACGTTATGTAATCTAAAAAAAAAAAAATGCCAGCGCCAAACAACAGGCAATAACATTTCACATGTAAAACGTTTTGTTACAATATTTAACTTTTACAAACGTGATGAATTTGATGTATTACAACAATTGAGTTTTGAAATGAACATCTTTATTTTTAATGTAATAAAACATCCTGGAATTAAGTTAGCTAATAATCAGGTGAAGAAAACATGTTTTTTTTCAAAGTAACACACCAGTAAGATACTATAAATTATATTTTTCAATCTGACAAATCACTGTATTAGTTGTGTTAAGTAGCCTTAAACTGTCTACTTTAAACTGTTTCATGGTTCTTGCATGACATTTCTTGACCAATGTTTCTGTTGAAACGTTAGCTATAAAAGTCCACAGAATCACATAACATATGCATTCCAGGTTCCAGAAAAGTACATTGAACATGGACAGTCCCAGTAAGGAGAAAGGACCCTGACCCAAGTGACTGCTCAGCTGTCTGCAACTGTTAGCAGACCGTGACAGGACTGGACAGACATGTTTAAAGAATGGATTGATCCCATTAGTTTTTATATTTCCAGACCATAAGCTATAAATGCACATCCAAGTCATTTCTTGATGCAGTTGCACACAACTGTGAGATTAGTTTATCTACAGGCTAACTGTTAAACTGCAACTCTGCACAGCCCTTCCAGTACATACTGTGTATAAATATCATACTTAAATAAAGTGAAATTAAATATAAATG